TCAAAAAGTCTCAAAAGTTTTCTCGGTTTCTCCGCAAAGATCTTTTGCATGTTAGATTTATTCCTAGATTGGGGTGCCTGGGTGGTTCAGTCGGTTAAGCGTCCGACTTCAGCTCAGGTCATGATCTCACGGTTCACGGGTTCAAACCCCACGTCGGGCTCTGTGCTGACAGCTCGAGTCTGGAGCCTGCTTCTGGTTCTCTGTCTCACCCTCTCTGCCCCTCCCCCGCTTGTGCTCTGTCTCTGTCTCTCAATAATAAATAAATGTTAAAAAAATTAGATTTATTCCTGGATACTTCACTCCTTGATGCTGTTAGGCCCCTCACTTGCAAATTGTTTGTTGCTAGGAATACAGTCTTTAAAAGCCGATTTTGTGTTCGGCTGCCTTGCTCAGTTTCATTATTCTCCATGATTTATCTGTAGATCGGTTTGGATTTCTGACGTAGACGATCATGTGGTCTGTAAACGATGCCCACTTTCTTCTCAATCCTAGCGTGTTCTTCCTGGCCCTTGTTCCGTTCTTTATCTCTCTCCCCTCGTCCTGTGAGCTCCTCTACTCCAAGGCAGAACCCGCGAGCGCTGTGTCCCCTTGTCTGTTCCCGGTGTGCACAAAAGTTTTCCCGTCTCTACAACTGAGTGAGGTCCTCCAGGAGCAGGAGAGACGGGAGAGCGCTGGGTTTCAGGGAGATGCACTGAAGATCCTCTTACTAACAGAGAAGGTATTAGGTGGCCCAGCCAGCCACAACAGCTCCGTTTTACTTCATTCCTACTGAATGTGTCACCAGGTGGTAGGGGAAGACCTGTAAACACGTTATTACTGCAAAGGGGCGTAGAATGTGTGAGCCTGAAAATGCTGTGTTTAAAAATAACAGCTCACCCTCGTTGAGCACTTTATCAGTCACGGTTCGATCGGGAACACAGAGGTGGTTCCGCAGAGGGAAGCTTCCCGCCTGAACAAATAATAATGGCCTAGGAAGAGCCGCAGACTAGGCAAGGCAGCCCAGAGCCCCCACCACCCTCTGGGCTGGAGGAACAGGTCCCTGGTGGCGTCATCGCAGCCCGTTGGGGGCCAGAGCTGGAGGCTGGGACCGAAGGAGGGGCTCGGAGAGCTGGCCCCAGGAGGAAGCTGAAGATGACGCCAGAGATGCTTCCAAAACCGAGGACAGAAACACTCGGGCTTCCCTCCTCCCAGCCTCCAGTGCCCGGCCGGACCGAGGTGGGAGCCAGCAGCCCCGAGCCCGGAGACAACTTGCAGGAGGAGCCTTCTGGGACCCTGAGCAGAGGGCGACAATGGGTGTGGGGACACAGGCACCCCCGAGCACGCGTGTTGCCCACTTCGTCCTCGAGGCCCCGTGACAAAGAAGCCAGGTAGAGTAGAAGCTCAGGTAGAGTCACAGGCTAAGCCTGGCGTCACCAGACCAAGACAGTCACAGTTTTGGGTCTCCCAGTAATGGACTCTTACCAGTCAGTCAGGAGTCGCCCGGTGGGCACTAGTTACATGGTCTGACCGATGGAACCCTGCCGTCTCCTGAAGGAAAGTAACAGATGCGATGACCACCCTGCGTTTCCGTGTTGGGTGACTGCCTTGTTCCGGCCCCCTTCTGCCTGCGGGAGTCTGCGCATGGCTTCTCGGAGCCCGTCTGTCTGCTGGCTGGATGCCACCGATCCTGAATTATTGAAGAGAGGCAGAAGGATCTTTAAAATGTGGTCGGTTGAATTTTGTTTCTTTTTAAAAATTTTTTTATTTTTTAATTTATTTTTTTAATTTACATCCAAGTTAGCATATAGTGCGACAATGATTTCAGGAGCAGGTTCCTTAATGCCCTTTACCCATTTAGCCCATGCCCTTCCCACCAGGTTCCAGTAAACCTCAGTTTGTTCTCTATATTTAAGAGTCTTCTGTTTTGTCCCCCTCCCTGTTTTTATATTATTTTTGTTTCCCTTCCCTTATGTTCATCACTTCTGTGTCTCGAAGTCCTCATGAGTGAAATCATATGATATTTGTCTTTCTCTGACTAATTTCACTTAGCATAATACCCTCCAGTTCCATCCACGTAGTTGCAAATGGCAAGATTTCATTCTTTTTTATCGCCGAGGAATACTCCATTGTATCTGTATACCACATCTTCTTTATCCATTCATCCATCGATGGACATTTGGGCTCTTTCCATACTTTGGCTATTGTCGATAGTGCTGCTATAAATATTGGGGTGCATGTGCCCCTTCGAGTCAGCATTTTTGTATCCTTGGTTTAAATACCTAGTAGTGCAATTGCTGGGTCGTAGGGTAGTTCTATTTGTAACTTTTTGAGGAACCTCCATACTGTTTTCCAGAGTGGCTGCACCAGCTGGCATTCCCACCAACGATGCAAAAGAGAGCCTCTCTGCATCCTTGCCGACATCTGTTGTTGGCCTGAGTTGTTAATGTTAGCCATTCTGACAGATGTGAGGTGCTACCTCATTGTGGTTTTGATTTGTATTTCCCTGATGATGAGTGATGTTGAGCATTTTTTCATGTGTCGGTTGGCCATCTGGATGTCTTCCTTGGAGAAGTGTCTGTTCATGTCTTTTGCCCATTTCTTTACTGGATTATTTGTTTTTTGGGTGTTGAGTTTGATAAGTTCTTTATAGATTTTGGATACTAACCCTTTATCTGATATGTCGTTTGCAAATATGTTTTCCATTCTGTCGGTTGCCCTTTAGTTTTGCTGATTGTTTCCTTTGCTGTGCAGAAGCTTTTTATCTTGATGAGGTCCCAGTAGTTCATTTTTGCTTTTGCTTTTGCACATCTTCCTCTGGAGACGTGTTGAGTAAGAAGTTGCTGCGGCAGAGGTGAAAGAGGTTTTTGCCTGGTTTCTCCTTGAGGATTTTGATGGCTTCCTGTCTTACATTGAGGTCTTTCAACCATTTTGAGTTTATTTTTGTGTATGGTGTAAGAAAGTGGTCCAGGTTCATTCTTCTGCATGTCGCTGTCCAGTTTTCCCAGCACCACTTGGTGAAGAGACTGTCTTTATTCCATTGGATATTCTTTCCCGCTTTGTCAAAGATGAGTTGGCCATACATTTGTGGGTCCATTTCTGGGTCCTCTATTCTGTTCCATTGATCTGAGTGTCTCTTCTTGTGCCAGTACCATACTGTCTTGATGATGACAGCT